TGAGGAATACGAGATCGAGGAATGACTCAAATGAAATCTAAGGAAAACTGAGAGCGAACACACCAAAACCCTAGACCGAGGTTTAACCGGTGGAAAACCTTAAAAACACGAAGGAAACCCTAGAACGGTGAGGAATCACTAAACTGACCGATTAATCGATGGAAACGGTGTTTTAAACGTTGTGGCTGAGGCGTGATGGAATGAAGAATGTGTTTGTGATGTGGAGAGATGAAAATGTGAGAAGTTGACGCGTGCGCTATGGAGACGTGGCTGAGGCGCGCATGAGAAGCTGAAGATATGGCAGCGAAGGAATGGTTTAGCGTGGAGGATGAGAGACAATGTAAGCACCGTGGAAATGGAAAATGAAAGTGAGAGAGTGTGCTTGGAAGGTGACTAGAGGGAGTCTTTAGACTCTCTAGCCTGACTTTCAAGGAGAATTATTCTGATTTCAGAAATATAATTTTCATTCATCTCAAAAGTGACCATTACAAAGAGAGAAGTTGGGTATTTATAGTAATCCATGCTCCTTGCAAACTGATACACGTATATAATAAAATATAAAAATACAAAAGGGAAACACTAAGAAAGGTACGTCAGATTCCATCGCATAGAAAGTAAAAATTGCACAACTGCAAAAAAAATAAAATCTAAAACTTTACATTTACTAAACTTAATTCAACGAACAAAAGAAATATAAAATACTTAAATAATAGAGTTTGTGGTGGATTGGGATGGTGGAATATGTAGATATTTTAATCAAAGTGAAGAATTTGATATTTTATGGCTTCAATTTTCAAATCCCTTTTTCATGCATGTTAAATGTAAATAAAAAAAATCACCATAAATCCACATTAACCAACTATAGTCACATTTATGTTTTACCATGATAAATAAGCGATATCTTAATAATGTTTACTCAACATAACGGAAATAAATAAATTAAATATTTCTAAAAATAAGAAAACAAATGTCAAAACTCATTTAAAACCCACTAAAAACCCCATTTGAGTGGAAGCCAAATGTCAAAGAAGAGAGCTGAAAATAAGAAAGTGGAAAACAGGTAGCAGCAGGAGGTTGGTCGTTCGCTAATGACGGTAGGAGTAAAATTCTGGGTTTTCAAAAGTTGACGTCACTTCTACATGCACCCTTCTTGCCCAAAGTTCTGAACTCCATTTTCTCCTCCTTCTCTCTAAGATTTCTTCATCTTCTCTCTACAAAATATTACTCTTTTCTTCCTCCGATCATCAAACAGACCACACCTGAACATTCCCGACGTCGAGGGCGTTCGTTTGAACCGATCAGTTTTCGAGTCCGAGCTGGTAAGTTCATCTCTCCCTCAGGTGTGTGATTTCCTGGTACATGCAAACTTAGTTTATGGGTTGCATGAGTCAATCATCTTGTTTTGAGAGTTTCTGGATTCTTGTTTGGTTTAGTTTCTTAAGGCATGACTGTAGAACGCTAAGGCCTCTGGTAGAGGTGAACCCTATTCTGGAACTGTGAACGTTTGGTCACGCTTAGAGGTAAGGGAAGCTTATATAATTTGATTTAGATTCTTGCTTTGTATGGATGCATGTTCGTTGATTGCTGAATGAATATGAAATATGGTTGTTATTGCATTGTTGGCTATATGAGTTTATGAATCTAAGAGATGAGAAACTAGAATGATATTGTGTTGATGATTTGGTCGATGATGAAATATTGTAGTTGTTTAAAAGTATTGATGATTAATGAAATCCATGAAATGGGTAGGGATGTTGTCGAGAGTCAGTATTGACCATTTAGTTATACTTGAGTATTTGGTCTTGGACCAAGCGTTCGTTTTAGTAGCGTTCGTTCTTCATAAGTGTTTGGTATTAGACCAGCGCTCGTTCGATATAGTGTTCGGTTTTCTTGTGGACTCGGTTGGAACTGTATTATTTCATTTGGAGAGAATTCTAGTTGAGAACGAGCATCTTCATTTTGTAATATTCGTACATGAGAGTTCGACCAAGTGTAGTCGTTCCTTGGTATTTGGTTATAAACTTCAGTATATCTATATGTATTTGTATATTTCGTTCGATCTTGAACACTAGTTAAATGATATCTTATATGTATTAAGCCTTTATTCTATAAGTTTAGTAGTGCTCGGTCTTACGCCAAGCGCTCGTACTAAGTAGTGCTCTGTCTTACACCAAGCGCTCGTACTAAGTAGTGCTCGGTCTTACAGCAAGTACTCGTACTAAGTGGTGCTCGGTCTTAAACCAAGCGCTCGACCTTGATTCAGTAATATGATTTTTAAAATAAGAGCATTCGGAAAAACTCAATAGCGTTCGGGATCTTTATTCAAATTGGTTTAGTTGAGGTTTTAATAATGAAAGATGATGGAATATGATATGGATGAAATGACTTTGGTTATGAAGGAGTGTTCCGGGGAGGAATATCTCATGATTTGATATTGGAATGGTAAAGTATGAATGTGGTCAAACTAAGCTGTCGTTCATCCGGACATTCTAATGGTCACCGAGTCTCAAGTAGAGAATGGTGGCGCATGTGGTGAGAATAGCAGGAAGCCTGGTTGCGTATAGCTTGGGGTTCCAGCTATCAGACTAAACTCATGTGTAGACTTGGGTTTCCAACTATGGTAATTCTGATGGTTTTCCAGATTACCTTTCCACGAGTGCACAAACGTCGTAGCTACACAAAATTCATACAGTCCGGATAGTCAGAGTAAAAAGAACAGTCTTTGCATGCATTGTTATATGATTATGGTTGGGAAAAGTATGATTTTTGTACATGATGGTTTTTATTAGACTTGTGTGAAATATATGTTGATACTTGAATTAAATTACATAAGCTTACCCTATTTCCTGTCTTGTCATGTATTCTCGTTCGTTCGTCCTTGTCATTGCGATGATCACCCTGTGGGTGGAAGCAGAAGGAGAAGAGATTGCTGAAAGAAGCATTGGAAGAGACAAACGTGAAGGTCGAAACTTAGGACACTCGGTCAGTTGTTGGCCTACTCTTTTGTAGGAGCGTTCGATCATTCGTTTACTTTATCTTTTGATTTTGACCGTTCAGCATAGGAAGGGTTATAAGCCATTCGTTCTATATTTGTAGCCGGTTGTACAGTTTTAACTCTCTGCTATTTTTATAAGGTCGTTCGACCATAACAGTACGTATCTTTTGTAAGAACTGAGCTGTCATATTATTATATATGATCATTCTATTATATGGTTTTACACTACATTTTTGGGATGTTACAACAAATTAAACCAAAAAATTAAAAAGAATGAAATTGAACTAAATGGAGTAAATCAATAATTATTGCCTTTAATTTAAAAACACACAAAATCTACATTTCCCTCTTAAGAAGAACATTTAATTAACGAGACAGATAGACAAATAAAAAATAAATGCACACTATAGCAGTAAAGCAATAAATAAGTTTATTTTTATCAAAAAGAATGATCCCATTTTGTAAGATCACGAGATCAAGTGATTTTGCAGCCTTTTCTTGAAGGTGGCGAGACATCCACTTTACGGATCCACAAGATTACGTCCATCTTCTAAAAGAAGCATAATTTATTAATAATATTATTATTAATAATAATAATAATAGCACAAAAGTGAAAAAAGAACTTCCATAAAATACTTTTTATCAACCATTTCCATTTGCATATATTTTGAAATGATTACACTCTTCTTCCCATCTCCACATTTTTTAGCCTGCAAATCGTTCAAAAAAGATATCACATCATTCATCAATTCATTAGACTATAAAATAGTACCAAATATCGAATATTCGATTTTTGAATAAGTTACTCTAATTCTTAAATTATTCGATAGTTTTTAATTAGATATTTCAACTTGTATTTGTTTTAGTTGAGAATCCTTGTCTTTTTATTTCAACAGAAAATTAATGTGAAAAAAATTGAATGGTTCATCATAAGCAGATTAAGAAATTAAAATGTTATACCAAATGCTCTTTTGCAGATTGAGAGAAGGACGACAATAACGGCTAAACCAGCAAGCACTCCCACAATAATGGCAACTGATTTTCCCACTTGGTCATCCTCATCAGAAGATTCTACACAAAACATAAAGTTGCACCACAACGATAATCAAAATCATTGCATGAGATTTTTAAAAATTATCACATCTTTTTTCATTTATTAGAAAAAAAAAATAACACTTTTACTTAAATTATCACACTTTTTTTTTCTAAAATAGTCTAAAGTTACACTACTATAACATTTATTTTTTATTTTACAAGAAAAACATTTCAAGAAAAGAATGAAGATATTAATAAAATTTAAGTCATTTGAGTATTTTCTTTAATATATGTGAATTCAATGTTCTTTTCTCATGTGTAAGAAGGGAGGTTTACTCCCTCTATTCACTCTATGTATGTTTAAGTTTTTTCTTTTTATAATTTTTCAAATTCACTGTCATTTATGCTTTCTAATGTAGTAATTATAATTTTATTTCAATATTATCCTAAATAATATTTATATAATTTAAATCCTTTTATCCTTAGTTATNCTTGAATTAAATTACATAAGCTTACCCTATTTCCTGTCTTGTCATGTATTCTCGTTCGTTCGTCCTTGTCATTGCGATGATCACCCTGTGGGTGGAAGCAGAAGGAGAAGAGATTGCTGAAAGAAGCATTGGAAGAGACAAACGTGAAGGTCGAAACTTAGGACACTCGGTCAGTTGTTGGCCTACTCTTTTGTAGGAGCGTTCGATCATTCGTTTACTTTATCTTTTGATTTTGACCGTTCAGCATAGGAAGGGTTATAAGCCATTCGTTCTATATTTGTAGCCGGTTGTACAGTTTTAACTCTCTGCTATTTTTATAAGGTCGTTCGACCATAACAGTACGTATCTTTTGTAAGAACTGAGCTGTCATATTATTATATATGATCATTCTATTATATGGTTTTACACTACATTTTTGGGATGTTACAACAAATTAAACCAAAAAATTAAAAAGAATGAAATTGAACTAAATGGAGTAAATCAATAATTATTGCCTTTAATTTAAAAACACACAAAATCTACATTTCCCTCTTAAGAAGAACATTTAATTAACGAGACAGATAGACAAATAAAAAATAAATGCACACTATAGCAGTAAAGCAATAAATAAGTTTATTTTTATCAAAAAGAATGATCCCATTTTGTAAGATCACGAGATCAAGTGATTTTGCAGCCTTTTCTTGAAGGTGGCGAGACATCCACTTTACGGATCCACAAGATTACGTCCATCTTCTAAAAGAAGCATAATTTATTAATAATATTATTATTAATAATAATAATAATAGCACAAAAGTGAAAAAAGAACTTCCATAAAATACTTTTTATCAACCATTTCCATTTGCATATATTTTGAAATGATTACACTCTTCTTCCCATCTCCACATTTTTTAGCCTGCAAATCGTTCAAAAAAGATATCACATCATTCATCAATTCATTAGACTATAAAATAGTACCAAATATCGAATATTCGATTTTTGAATAAGTTACTCTAATTCTTAAATTATTCGATAGTTTTTAATTAGATATTTCAACTTGTATTTGTTTTAGTTGAGAATCCTTGTCTTTTTATTTCAACAGAAAATTAATGTGAAAAAAATTGAATGGTTCATCATAAGCAGATTAAGAAATTAAAATGTTATACCAAATGCTCTTTTGCAGATTGAGAGAAGGACGACAATAACGGCTAAACCAGCAAGCACTCCCACAATAATGGCAACTGATTTTCCCACTTGGTCATCCTCATCAGAAGATTCTACACAAAACATAAAGTTGCACCACAACGATAATCAAAATCATTGCATGAGATTTTTCAAAATTATCACATCTTTTTTCATTTATTAGAAAAAAAAAATAACACTTTTACTTAAATTATCACACTTTTTTTTTCTAAAATAGTCTAAAGTTACACTACTATAACATTTATTTTTTATTTTACAAGAAAAACATTTCAAGAAAAGAATGAAGATATTAATAAAATTTAAGTCATTTGAGTATTTTCTTTAATATATGTGAATTCAATGTTCTTTTCTCATGTGTAAGAAGGGAGGTTTACTCCCTCTATTCACTCTATGTATGTTTAAGTTTTTTCTTTTTATAATTTTTCAAATTCACTGTCATTTATGCTTTCTAATGTAGTAATTATAATTTTATTTCAATATTATCCTAAATAATATTTATATAATTTAAATCCTTTTATCCTTAGTTATGAACTAAATAAATGGGGGAAAATACTATTATACAATTATGGGTGCATTTCTATTATGTGTGAGTATTAAAAGATGTAATAATTATTTCTTTAAATGTGCAAATTACAAGTATAATTTGTAAGAATACCTTAATTAAAATTTTCTATTCACTAATTTATTTATTAATTTTTCATGTTTGAGAAAGTTTTACATAATAGATAAAATAAAATGAAATGGAAGGAGGGTAAAACTTTAAAAAGTATTTGTCATTGGATTCCATGTCATCTCATCTTTAATTAATACATAAATTCAGCTTTCTGTTAAACTATGACACTAGAGAAAAAAAGGTATTGGGAGAAATGTAAAGTTCTCTAGTGTGAACTGATATACTAACAAGCAAAGATAAAGAATAAAATAACAAGTGTTTTCATAGATTTAACCAAAAGTAATGAAACTTACAGAAAGTTAAAGAACACAGAGGAATTGCAGTGTGCATTTTCCAACATAAAGCATAAAACACTTTTCTGCATATAAAGATTACAAGTTGACCATTGCATTTGATCATTTGTTAGGTACTAGCTGCATGCATCCTGCATTCTTTCCACCTCTATTAATTTTACTTCACTTTTGAACAACTTCAATGCCATAATGTTTCTCTATGTAATTCCAAGCATATTTTAAACTTTAAAGAAATTTCAAATTCCTTCTCCTTTATCATTATCAAATTTTCCTTTGTCAAATGGTGAATGGGAAGAATATGCATATCATGTATAAAGAAAGCTCTATGTTCTTAAAAATGATTTCACATTTCTTGTAATATACACTTAATTTCTACAATTTTTTTCTAATCTAACTTTCTCTAAAAGTTAAAAATATATAATAGTTAGAGATCTCTCATCAATTAGAGACAAAATTTATTTTATAAACTAATTTTGTAAGATTGAGTTAGACTGTGTTGTTATTAATGATGTCTTATTTTGAAATGAAAAGATAAGATAATGAGAAATCAAATGAACCTGCTTGATCATAGTAGCCAGCTTCCCAGTAGCGAGAATAACATTGTGCCAAGAACACATCAGCCGATGCTGCTGAACCACAAATGCTCCTAAGCTTTCCAACTGCTGCTTGAAGACAGGAGGAGCAATCAGCCACATTCAAATCTCCCAAACACAGTGCAAACCCTTCAACAAAACCAGAACTACTGACTCCAAATCCATTAGCTGCTTGCAAATCAGAAAGAACATCATCTCTACGCCTCAAGAACTCAGCATCACTTGTCACTGCTTTACTGCACTTCTTGTACCAAAGGCTTGTGTCAGGTTTTCCAAGGAAATCAACATGCTCATATCTGATATAACAGCCTTCAAGTTGCAGAGATGCTCCAAGTGCCAAGGGACAGACCAAGCCTATTTGGTCAACACAACTTTTAACACATTTTGAGCATTCCTTTGGCCTCAAATCACTCCTGCACTGGTATAAGCCATATATGGATCCCTCTGGTGGTGACGAGCTTCCATTTCCAATAGCAAAGCTATTGTAAGAATTCTCAGAAGATGAGACAGAAACTGAAGACAATAAGGAGTTGAGGTTGGCTTCAAAGGGTGTGTTTGGTTGGTATTTTTCTTGAGAGCAGCCAGCATAAATGAAGATATGAGCTCTGCTAGTGTAGCCTAGGGCATTAGGAATTGAAGAAAAGAGAAATAGCAGCAGATATGAGAGTTTCAAAGCTATAATGACTCTATGAGTTGAGTCTAGTTGAAGGCTTATGAACATTTTCTTTTTCCTTGCTTACTCTCTCAATTCAAACTTAACTTCCTTTCATGGTTATCACAATTTCAGAATGAAGTGGTGACTGCTTTTTTGGTCGTTTCTCACGTGATGCCTTTTTACACAGTGAAGTCTTATGATGTTAAATGCTATATTTGAATGCTTATTCATTTTTACTTTACATGAACTTTAAATTTATAAACTTGTACTGCTGTTCATTATTTTACAACATCGAATTAAATAACACCAAATTGAGGGTAACATATGCTTTTAAGATCTCTTTACTTGAATATAGTATCAATTTATGACACACTGCATATGCTGTGGAATTATGAATTACAATGAGAACTTTCAGATATTATAGATATTAAATGAATATATTATCTGCACTTTCTCTTCAAACTGTAAAATCCCCATTGATGCGTTGAAACAGATGGGCCATACCATATGTTAGAAGGTACTCAAAAGAGCTTTAGAAAAAGAAAGACATGAATATTGATAACAAGCCAATTTTATGCCACTATTTTGATAATTGAATAGCTGCTATCATTGTTTACTGTTAATTAAATTCTACTTTATCTCTTGATAATTTCGTATGTTCTCCATTTACTTGCCTATTCACTTTTTGTATCAGTAAAATAGTTATAATTTTCATAAAGAATAAGACAACTTGCGTGGTTTTTCTTGCTCTCTTGAAAATCTAATGATGTGAGATCATTATGATTTTGTTCATGTGAATACAAAAACAGAGAACTGTTTTGAATCTTATCGCTTGAAATTAGGGGAACGGTCACTTAGTTTTCGTCATTTATGATGCAAAGGATGCATTTGTGCTTTATCAGTTCACATCACAACAAACTGCATATGTAGCAAAATTGAACATTCTGAATAGTGAAACACCAACCAGAATGTTGTGTAAAAGGAAACCTGTTAGCAAGCAAACTATAAGTCATCCAAATAATGCAAGGCCCAAAAGGATTACTACCACACCAGCCCATTTGAAGGATTATGTTCCATAAAAAAAACCTCTTTGTTTCTAGAAGTGCCAGGTCATGTTTTTTTTTCACTGCATCAGAATAATTCAGTTATGCATTTTGGAAGATTTGCTTTTGATCTTTGTAGATTTCCTTACCCACCAAATCAGGAATACCCTTTGATTGTAACCAACTATGATATGAATATTCCTTGTAATAGCTTTATATAGATTTCGTATGAATGAAAAGGAGAGGAAAAAATTCTATCATCTCTGTCTCTTCCCTTATTCTGTTTCAGGGGCTCCCTTAGCCATTAATTAAGAAAGTGAAATCTAAAAATTTGGTGCTTTCATTGAGCTCATTTTGAGTCACGGCAACCGACTCCACCAACGCAGAACCTTGGAATGATTTAACCATCAAAGTTGATTCTATTTCTAACAAACTTTCTCTTTTGTATGGTTCGACCACCTTCCCCCCCACCACACGTTTATCTCACCTCAAATTCCAATGCCCCTGACGGGTTCCCGCAACCACACATGAAGCTTCGAAGTTCCAGGTTTCGATGGAACCGACCCATTGGCTGGATCTTTAAAATTTCCCCATTCTTCGACTACCACAAAACACCGAACAGGAAACGTCTTCAGTCGCTCCTTCTATATGGACGGACCAGCCCTAAGTTGTACCATGGAATGTAACCGGAACAACAGATTCAGACATGGTTTGGGTCCTCGCGGCCTTGGAAACTCGTTCGCTCCTTCCTCTATGATGAACCTTCTGGTGCTTTTATTCAAACTCACACAAAGAAAGGGACATTCAACAATATCTCACACATGAGTTTGAACGCCTCACAAAAATCGAATAGAAATGGGTTTTAACCCACCTTTAACCTGCCACATTTGCCCTGACTGCTTTCATCTCCGGATTGAACAACCAGAAACTCCGCGAGGTTTCAGGCCATCCGTCCCGCATCTCTGGATCACACGGACCCAGCTTGCTAGCTGTCAGAAGACAAAATCGAGGAACGTCGCCGTCTTTTTCCGCCCCAAAACTTAGATTCCGGCAACTAATTTCAGTACTACTACTGCGTTACCAACCCCACTTCACTTCTTTCGTCCCCGGCACTTCTACCAGCAAAACCCCAACCCCGCCCATGCATCAATTTCGCCGCCTCTTCCCCAGATACATTGCCTCATCGTCGGGAAAAGGGTCTTTGCTATAATGCGACGAGATCTTCACAACCCATCCCAACCGTTGCAAGGGAAATTTTTTCTCTTCCACTACCGAAGACCCTATTGCCGATGATTTACCACCACCGGACCCTACAATGGTTCTGGATCCACCTTCTCCTACGGCCGTTGCTGACGGAAACCATTCTCAGGTCCAGCCTCCATCTTTCACTGGCGGTGTTGGTTCCATCCACCATAGTCTCCAAGGCCATCGGCACAACCCTGTTTCTTTTCTATTCTCGGCGACGGTGGTAGCGACCACAATTTTATCAGAACCGGGTAGCCAAATTCCTAGATCCTCCCTTTAAATCCCATACAACCCCTTGACCGTTATGGTTGGGATCGGCAATCTCTGACGATGTGATCGTCTTTGCCCTGAGGTCGAACTAAAATTCAGGAGCACACTCTCCATGTTAATTTCTAGGTTTTTAATGTCTCGGTAGTCCCATTTTTCGGCGTGATTTCAAATAGGTCCCTTTTCTTTTCGGCGTCTCAATTGGGTTCTTTTTTGTGTAAAATTGGAGCAATTAGGGGTCTGCCGTCAAATTACACAAACGGTCGTTTAAGTTTGCCTACGTGTTATTAAAAATGATTTTGAATTAATTTTTGTATTAAAAAATGGATTTGTTCTTCAAGGGCAAAAAAGACAAACTGGGGCAAACCCTTTTCTTCTTTTCTTCTTCAATTGGAAGCGCGGTTCTTCTTTTCTTTTCTTCTTCGATTGGAAGGCGGAGGGGAAATCCCTTCCGAATGAAGAATTACAAGAGTTCACGATGCTATTCGCTATCAGGACCGCTGGCGACGACGCCGGTCCACCACCAGGGCTTCTCCCAGCGCCCCCGCTCACTTTCGGGCAAAGCAACTCCTGCACAGCGTCCCACACCGTCGTGAACCCCTCGAGATCGTTCAGTCAGGCGACCTTTGCGCGACTCACCACGCTCCGTCAAGCTTAGGACAGCCATCGGCGATGACGGTCACCATAGGAGCAGATTTACCAGCGTCAACGCGACCTCTCCTTCTTCTTCGCTCTTCTCCGACAACCTACTTCACCGTGCTTCTCACTCTCCTGTTTTTTGACTGTTGGGACATGAATAGAAACTCCAAATTTGTTTGTTTTTGGTGCCCGTGGTTCTTGATGGTTCCTAGTGAATACAGGTGAGTCGTGTGAGGGTTGGGAGTAGTGTGAGAAGTGGTAATGATAGATGAGAAGGCGTTGAGGGTGGTTACGGATGAGAGAGTCCAAAGGTGGAGTTTGTATGGTTCTTGCAGGAATGCAAGACTGGGAAA